GCCCCCGGGCCCCCCTGACCCCCTCGCCCGCCCTCCGGCCCGCAGGTGAAATGCGTCCTCACCGGCCACGAGCTGCCCTGCCGGCTGCCCGAGCTCCAGCTCTACACCCGCGGCAAGAAATACCGGCGGCTGGTCCGCGCCGCCCCGGCCTTCGACTACGCGGAGTTCGAGCCGCATATCGTGCCCAGCACCAAGAACCCGTACGTGCGCGGGGGCCACTGCAGGCAGGGTCCCGAGTGGGGACGGGTCCGAGCCCCACCCGTTCCCGCTGGGTGCGCGCTCCTCGAGGCCCCGGAGCCCAACTTCGTGTGGGATAGGCTCCTCCCTGGTGCCCGTTTGGTGTTTGTAAGGCTAAGGTTTGTCACCCGGGCTTGTCTGCTTCAGAGAGGAGCTGGAGGGCTTGCGCTTTGTCACCTAAGGTTCTGAAAGGGGTCAGTTTCACATACTTTAAGAGAACTTTGGTGTAGCTGAACGTGTATGGTCGACAGCGGTTGAAGGGCAGAGGGCGAGGGTGGGTGCTCCCGTTCATCCACCGCCTTGCCGGGCCTCGTTTCCCGCGTGCATTCGCTGGTGCGGGAGCCCTGGGCTGAGGCTGGCCAGGCCTGTGTCCCAAGCAAACGTCGAGAGCTCACAGCCCGTCTGGATCAGTGTTTCTCCACCCCGGGTGCAGTGTGGAATTGCTTCTGGAGCTTTTAAGACTTGCTGCCCAGGCCACCTCGTCGACCTCTGCTGTCAGATGCAGCCGTGGTGGAGGGCCCCCGATGTCGATCCCCGGGAATGTCCCTGCTGACTGAGGTTTCCCTGTCCCCTAGACACCAGCTGTTCTGCAGACTCACCCTGCGGCACATCAACAAGTCCCCAGGGCACGTGCTGAGGCACACCCAGGGCCGGCGGTACCAGAGAGCTCTGTGTGAATGTAAGTAGCCACGGGCGGACACGGCCTGCCTCACTTCACAGGTATTTGGGGGCCTGCCTGCCCCTTCTCCAGGATGAGTGCCCCTCAAAGGCACAAGTGGTGTCTCAGTCACCCTTGGGCAGCAGCTGGTGGTGCAGTGGGCTCCGAGGTCACCACAGGCTAGGGAGAGGGCCGCAAGGAGGCCCCGGGGAGGCTGAGTTTCTGGGCTGAGACTTTAGTTACGTGGGGAGTAGAGGCAAGGATTCAGGCAAGGTCAGAGGCAGAGAAACACTTGGCTGCAGGAGCTCCTGAAGGACGGCCACTGTACTACCGTGCAAGGTGGGGTCAGCAGGGTAGGTGGGGGCAAGAACACAGGGCCTTGGAGGTCAGGACCACGTGAAGTGGGGAGGCATTGAGAGGACTGAAGCAGGGCCTGGCACGTCACTGTGTGTGTCAGGATCACTGTGGCTCTGAAGGGGGGGGGGGCGGGAAGGAGTGGAAGAGGGGACGCTCAGTGGCTGTGCAGTCAGGTGAGGTGACCGTGGCTGGGGTGACCAGGTGTTGGCAGGGAAGATGTGCACAGGGTAGGATCAGTAGGTGAGGGAGTGAGGGAGGGGAAGAAGTCAGCTGGGACCCCCGAATTCCTGGTTTAGGAGAGTGGCCTCTGGATGACAGGCTTTGTGGGAAAATGAAATGTTCCTGTCAGCGTGTGTCAGGGAGGGTGGCCACTGACAACAAGGGCCAGCACTCAGATGATGCACGCCACTGACACAGAGGTGGCATTTGCGTCCACGGAGCCACGGAAGAAGGGACAGGGTCAGGCCTGAGCATGGAAGGAGCCCCAGGAGGGAGGGAGCAGCCAGGTGGAGTGGTGTCGGGGGTAGAGGTTTCGAGAGTGGTAGACTCTTCTCAAATGTTCCTGAAGGGAAGGTGAGGGGAGGACCAGATGAGGCAGTCAGGGGGCCTGGGGGAGGGAAACACAGGCAAGATGAGGAAGAGGACTCTGAAGGCTGTTTCCCCAAGAAGAAATGAGGCCGTCTTCACTTAAGGGCAATAGTGAGGGTTGAGAATAGGGATCCCACACAGGTGCAGAGCCTGAGGGCTGCTTGGTGTGGGCGGCAAAGGGAGAACTGGGTTACTCCATGAGCAAAAGAGTCATCTTAATGCTGGTGTGTGTGGCTCACAGGACCAGTGACCAGGAGGAGCCAGAGCCTGGCAGCCAGGGAGCCTGGCTGGGGATGCGGAGAGGGGACACCGGGTGCAGGGTCCAGTGGCCAGGAGGCCATGTGCGACCACGGAGTGGGTGGCAGAGATGACGCAGAGGATAGGACCTTGGAGGTGGGCAGAAGCAGGCAATGACATCAGAGACCAGGGCCCAGTCCCCCTTCTCCCTCCTCCTGAGGGGGCTGCACTGGACAGGAGAGCCATGCCCACACAGGGCAGGTTTCAAAAGCAGGCCTTTCGGTGCCACCCTGCTCCTCGTCGGGGCTCAGTCTGCATCTGCCACGCTGAGCGCCTGGCCTCCCCAAGTCCTCTGTACACGGGAGTATGGCTCCAGCGTGGAGGCCTCATCTCGGTGCCTCTGCTCTGGGCCAAGGGCCCGACTCCCACTGAGCCCCGCCACCCAGTGTGGGGGCCCAGCCGGCATGCCTGAGGCTTCCTGGAGCCAGGCTAGGGCTGGGGGTTCAGTGCTCGAGGCCCAGCACACCCCTGCATCTTCTCACTCCACGGTCGGCACCCCTGCTGGCCTCCTTCCTCTCCTGGTAGGAACTGGTCCAGTTTTTACCCAGCAGAGTAGGGTACAGGGCCCTGGTGGAGCTTGGCTCTGCACCGGGGGACTGCGGGGCAGACCCAGAACCAGGCAGTGTGCTGGCCTGTCCCCCAGATGAGAAGTGTCAGAAGCAGGGCGTGGATTACGTGCCTGCCTGCCTCCTGCACAAGAGGAGGAGGAGAGAGGACCAGATGGACGGCGCCCGGCCGCCTCGCCCGAGCAAGGCCTTCTGGGAACCCGCGTCTAGCGAGGACGATGGCACAGCCGCGAGTGACAGTGACGACAGTATGACAGACCTGTACCCACGTAAGCGGGAGTGCCCCCTCACCCCCCTTGCCGCAGGTGTGGGTCCTGGCTGCCTGCTAGGTTTTGCGTTCGCAGCAAGTGGGCTCCAGTCTCCATCCCTCTGTCCCTCCCACCGCGGGTCCTCAGGTCCTGGGCCCTGGCTGGCCGCTCCCCGCTCAGCCCTGAGCAGACCACGAGCCTAACCTGAACCGGCCCATCCCTCCATTCCTTCCAGCCGAGCTGTTCACCAGAAAGGACCTGGGAGGGACTGAGCCTGGGGACAGCACTGATGACTTTTTGACAGAAGAGGAGGGCAAGAAGCCAAGGCGTGCCGCAGAGAAGGGCCCTGGGGCCAGAGAGGAGACTGAAGTGGCCCGGGCGCTGGTCCGCAAGCGCGGGAAGGTGAGGGGCAGCTTCCTCTGGTGGTAGTTTGCCGTCTCCTTTACAAAACGTTAAAAAGAACCTTGTTTTTGCAAATGAAATACCAAGCTAACAGTTAAGTAAACAGGAGCCAAGGCCGCTCTGCCCTGATGAGGGTGGGCTCCTTTCCGGTTCGAGGCTCCACAGACAGGTTCTGAGGGCTGCCGAGTGCAGCAGGGAGCCCGTGGGGGACTTGTTTCCAGACACGGCCCGTTGCCATGAGGCAGTGACCAAGGTTCCGTCGTCCTGGGTAGCTGAGCAGGGCCGGGGCTCGAGGAGGTCCAGGCCTCTTGTGAGGCTGGGGACATGGGGAGCCGGCCTATCTCCGCGGGTGGGCGGGGTACCCCTTCCTCTCAGGCGGGGAAGCCTCACGAGCTCTAACCCTCTGTTCATGTTCCAGAAGCAGGTGAGCTCATCGAAGAAGTTCAAAAGTCATCATCGTAAAGCTAAGAGCTTCAGCTCTTTTAAACAATCCGGTTAATAAACGGCCGCGGAGAGAGCACGTGTTGAAAGCTTTTCGAGAATCCTTCACACACTTGACCCCCGTGGTCCTTTTCAAGCCGCCTGCGGTGCATCCTCTTGGCTGCTAGGGTGTCCCAGGGCCTTCCCCCTCCACTCCGTGTTTGCTGTCCCCAAGGGTGGGGCTGGGGGTTGGTCCCCATCCCCAGGAAGCAGCAGGGACCCCAAGGGAAGAGTTCTGGCTGGATGTGGCTTCTAAGTGCTCCTCAGCGAAGCCTAGAGGCTTTGTTGGGCTTGCTCGGCGTCCAAGGAGAGGCCTGGCCAGGCCCCACCCCAGCTGGACAACACCAGAGGATCACACTACATACAACAAATGCCGTTATTTATTTAGATGTTTCCAAAAATCAAAACGTTTTCAAACACAACTAAGATATAAAATACAGCATAAAATGAGATTTATACCTATTTCCCACATAAAGCAAAAAATTTTTCAGAAATTGTTTTGCCAAAGCCAATTGATAGATGGTATTTTTCTTTCCTCCCTGCAAAGGCATCTACCCCGTCTCAGGCACTGGCCTGCTCAGGGTGGAGGAGGCCGGAATAACTTCTGGCATGGAGGGTGACCTCTGACCACACCCCTCAGCCTCCTGGGGTCAACCTGTTTCTACAAACCAACAAAGGCCTTGCGAGCACAGGGCCGAGAAGGACCCGTACCCTGTCAAAAACGGTGCAGAGGAACAGACTTGGCCAAGTGTCCTTTGAGAGGACTGCTGTGCTGACGGGGAAGGGGGTGCACCAAGCAATGGCCCTACCAAGGCGGAAACATGGAGTCAGAAACCACCCTTTGTGTGGTGAGCATCCTAGTGCTGGGAAGTAGAAAAGCCCTCTGTCCGTAAGCCATTGCTTCATCTTCGAAAGGCCAGAGGGGTATACAAGTGAGCCGTGGGCGAGGGTTTAGGAACATGTGGGATGAGCCTCCACAGGGGCTGGGGCATGGGCACGAGATGCCGCCCTCAGGCTTGGTGGGTCCAGGCTGCAGAGCCAGGTAAGGTTCTAAGAGCACTGGGGGGCAAAAGCAGGGCAGCTTCCCCACCTCACGCTGGCTCTGGTCTGGCTGGTAGATGTGGATCCTGGCTCGGGACTGAACCCCAGCATCCCCGGGGGTGACCCTCAGGCCTGCACATCTAACTGATGAGCCAGGAGAAAAGACAAGCTTCAGGCAGTCCTCGTTTGAGTTTGGTCAGCCTGCCCCCAAGAGGGTCTGGGGGAGGACCGGGGGGAGGCACCAAGATGCCCCACTCTCCCCTCGTGGCGTCCGCTACGGCCCCGCGAGCGGAGAAGAGCAACAGGCGCTCATACCCCCAAGAAGAGAAACGCAGTGTAAGGCAATGTTAGAAAACTTTAAATACAGGATTAAGATCCAATCGGTAAGGCATCACAAATTGTAAAAAGTAATTTGGGCTGCATTCAGCATAGCAAATAGACAATCAGAGCAAGCGACAGCCTGGTGAGGATGGTACATCGCGGCTGCACAGCCTGGGAAGAATCCCTCCAGCCGGAGGAGAACCGGGCGGGGCGCTCAGCCGGGTCAGAGCTGTGCCCAGGCCTTCAGCAGAGGCTCTGTGTAAAGGTCGGGGGTGAGGTAACTGGTCTAGAGCCCGCTTTGTTGCTGCCCTGCCGCACGCGGCTGCCACTCGGCCCACGCCCCTCACACGGGAGCCAACCTGCAGACGTGTGGCCAGGCCAGGGTCGGAGCGTGGGTCCCTGCAGAGGACTTGGGAGCGCCTCCGTCCCCACCTTGAGCCACTAAAGCTCCCGGGGGTTTGCCTTCTCAAACCTCGGCCCCAGTCTGAAGCGGTTTTCTGATGAGTGACTTCCACCGTGGACAGTGGCCGCGGCCACCCCTCCAGTGCAGCGTCATTCTTTGGGTTTGGGTCTCTCTAAATGCCGTCACCGGCCCCGCAAGTATTACAGTGCGGGGCAGGGCCAACTCGGAGCCGTGGGGGTGGTTTAAAACCAGGACTTGGACAGTGTGTTTGATGTTGGGCTGGGCCATCCCGAATCCTTTCATTTTAGTTAAAAACGTAAACTGAAAAAATAATAAGAGGGAGACTGCTTTGAAGGATACACAAATGTATCTGCTCACAGTACAGCTTGAGGCCCCCACCCGCGAACCAGAAACAAAATAGGAAGTGAGGCCCCAGCCAAGCCAGCCACTCGCTCCGAGAAGCCGAGGCCTTGCCTTGGTGAGGGGGTGGGGGTAGATACTGCCATCCAGCCGGCCAGCTCCGAGGGTCAGATACTAGGTGTGGGTCCAGAGCAAATTTAGCCATCAATTTTCAGGTGTCTGCAAATAAACTCTCAAAACATCTGTGCCTTTACCAGGAGGGGAGGGAAGAGGGTACATAAATGCTGGCAGTTTTGTCAAATCCGCCCCGAACCAGTCCTCGATGGCCACGGGTCTCAGCCAGGCAGGGAAGGGGTCTGTTACCACTCTTTCTTCTTCTCATCCATGGAGACGCCCCCGGGACCCAGGGCCACCACCAGGAGCAAGCCTCCGATCACCGACATGGTCTGGAAGAAGTCGTACTTCAGGAAGTCGTGCATGGGCTTATAGACAGGAATGGTCCAGAAGGCGTTGAAATACACGTTGATGGCAAACAGCCAGACGACAAGAGTCAAAGCGGCTAGCTTGGTTTTAAAACCAACAGCCACTAAAATCATCAGAGCTGTGCCCACGATGTTCTGGAGAATCTACATAGGTTGGAAGGTGAGAAATACCAAAGAAAAAAAAAAAAGGGTGAGGAAGAAGAGACATACCCTGTTTTAACGGGCAAGTTCCAACTGCCCTTGTCACTGTGGTAGGTGTCAGTGACGTCACAGAGGGGCATGCATTCAAGTGAGCGGTACCGGCGGGGGGCGGGGGGGCGGTATATACAGCATCGCTCCAAAGCACGAGCAGTCGGGGCGAGGGTAAAGGAAAGCCTCCTCTGAACGGGCTGTGATTTACCAGGACACACCCGGGTCTGAGCCTGTGGGCCTGCAAGCCATCAAGATACTCCCCAGTGCTTCTCAGAACCGGGCTCCCCCCTCTCGGGAACCTCTCCCAGTCAGGGCACCCAGCGGGCTCTAAAGATGTGCGCTGTAAGCTCCTGGGAACAGGACCGAACCGGCAGCTCTGCAGTCAACACCCGGCACGCACACAGTACGTGACAGAAGTGTGAGCAGCGGGCAAGGGAAGAAGTAGTCTGTAAAGAGCCTGGGTCGGCAGCTGGGCGGTCAGCATGCCAGGCAGCGGGTCCCCCAGTGAGGTCAGGGAGATTCTCGACTTCATTTGTCCGCTCTGAGCCCACAAGAGCTTGCGGGTTTTTATTCCTTTTAATAGGATCAAAGGTTTGCTTCCTTTGAACCAACTCGTTCCAACATCATTCCAACAGCCCCTCGATTAGGCTTAGTACACAACCAGAGAAGGGGGTGGGGAGCAGCACCCCTTCCACAGACAGGAGACCTGACCCATTTAAGCAAACAGGAACACTCACCGAGAAGAAGCTGGCGTCAAAGTGAAGGAGGGTCATGAACATCAAGACCAGCAAAACCCTGCCTCCGAGCTGCATGTACTGTTTGGGAGAGCTCTCGCGCATGGTGGGAACGCCTGCGAACATGCTCTTCCCTTCGGAACGGGACTCCGCTAGGAGCAGCAACAAGCCTCCTCCCAGGGCCAGATTCCTGAGAACAGACACACCAGGTGAGTCACTAAGGCTCATCGGGCACGACACATGCCCATCCGACCAGGTCGGGAGATCTTGGCGGGAGCACAGGAAAGGCCCTTAGGTCCCTCTCTCCAAACCATGCCAGACCAGCTGGGTGACTGCCTTACACCTGCAAAGGCCTTCCACAGCTGAGGACAGACGCGTCTGTTCTGCCGAGCAGTGACCGGAGCCTGAACGCACTCGGGCCACCCCAGCCCTGGCTCTGCCGTCACCCGGCACTGCGAGCAAAGCGCGGTCATTCTGTCCCTCCTTCCCTCCCTCGGAACACACGACTGGGAGAGATGGCTTCGTGCGCCCCTGTGCTTGGGATCAAGGGGGAGCCTCTGCCAACACCCCCTACAGACTCAAGCACACTTGGATCCGAAGAAGTTCACTCCCACTGCTAGCTCCTGAGTCGAGAGACACGGAAAGGAAGCTCACCGTGTGGAGCACACGTACCTCATCAAAAACTTCAAGTCCCATAGGATGCTGTAAGCAATCGTCTGGAGGGAACAGAGAACAGAGACAGAAACTGGAGTCTCAGCATTTTCAAACCCATTCGGACTTCTATAGAATTAACTGCAGTAGGCAATTTCTCCAATATAAGTGTGAGTGTAAGATACACAAACGGTTTAGGACCCCAGGACGGCTCCAAGTTCAACAACCTGGCTCAGCATTTCTCAGGGCGTGCTCACCAGCCCGGGCCTGCTTAACAAGCGCCTGCTCACCGGAGTTGTGCCCAAGGTGGGCTGGAGCGCGGCAGCTGAGGGCACCGGTCGGTCCGCGTGCTATGTTACACAGCTCGTGCGGCTAGCTGGGCCTTCCTTACGAGGTAAAATGGTAAGATCATGTCTTGGCTGTAGCCAACCTTGTGATTTGTCCTCCTGTCAAAGGAAACTCAGGAAGGTGGCAAAACGGTGGCTACCCAGAGCTTGGCACCTTCTCAGGGCACCATCCTCTCCCACTCCCCTGAGCTTGCTTTGAGCAAAATCCAGTGACTTCTCAGAAAAGAAGAGGAGGTCCAGGCAGAGGGCTCAAGGGGGGAATGAAGCTGAATCCCCAGAAACGCCTTTTTGCAGAAGCTCTGCTCCAAGCACAGCAAGGAAGAGAGAGACCCGGATGGCGCATCCCGTGTACCTGTAGGGCTATGATCCCGAAGAGCCCGAAGCAGGCGTACTGCACGAAGTTCCTGCTCAACACCAGGATGCAGCCAGCTGGAAAGGAGAAGGGCAAGGCTCAGGGGGCTGTGGGCGAGTGCCAGGCGAAGAGACGCCACCGGGTCCCTGGCCACCTCACCTGAGCCCCGTGCAGCAGCAGCCCCAATACCCACCCCAAGGAAAAAGCAACTTCCAGGAGAACTGGTCAGAGGCACAGACCACACACGAGTCAACTGGACCTTACTTATCAGAAACACCGTTCTAGAAAGTGGATCCCTTGCTCCAGAGAATGGGCCCGTTTCCAGAGTGGGTGGTCCATCAGAAACTCTGCTGTGGAGAGCTTCGGGACAGCCTGAAAGGCGCAGGCCCCTTTCCTGCCCCACAAGGTACAAGGGAGGGGGGCTGCCACCAGAAGGCAGTGGCCGGGAGCAGAAGACCTGAGGCCCACGTGAGCTGCATCCCGGCCTAGCGCTCACCCTTTCCCGACAGCCTGGGTTCCGACGGCTCTGGCTCCTATCCGCGTCCCCCCCGGATCCCCCGCATGTCCCACTCCAGGCGCTTGAAACCGGGACCAAGTCATCTGTAGCAAGCAGAGCACCCACCCGGGGGCCCGCTGCCGGGGAAGGAGGGGAGGGAGAGGTCGGCCGTCCCAGGAGACCCCCGGAGACATGCTCTGCCCCGCCCGTCCCGCGCTTCGGGGCCACTCACTCAGCTGCCCGAGCAGGTTGAGGAGCACGAAGGCGGAGGCCAGCGCGTAGCCGCAGCCCCACGTGGTGTCAATGTAGTCACGCTGCTCGCCCCACTGGAACCACATGCGGACGCCGTCCTCCAGGAACGTGCTGATCAGGCAGAGGCGCGCCACGTGGGGCAGGTACTGCTTCGTGACTCGGAGGAACTGCGGGCCACAGAAACCCAGCTGAGGCAGCCGCGGGACGGACGCTGGACGCCGGGGCGCGCAGGGACCCTCAGCACCTCTCCCTGCACTACCCTGCGGGTCTGCAGGTGCCACCGGCCTGTCTGGCTCAGACCCCCGGGGCGACGGCCACGGCGCCCTTCTGGGATCCCCTGTCGTCTCAGTACCCGTGTGTAGACGGCAACAACGCACGGCATGCATGCTCAGGCGAGGGCCTTGGTGAGTTAGGATCACAGCGTGACAAGGCCCCGCGAGCTCACTAGGGGGCAGCCTCCCCACCTGTGCCCCCGGGCGTCTGCATCGAGTCAATCTCTATTGTGGGCTCTCTATCATGGGCCGTCCTGCACCGAAGGGTGGTGAGCGGCATCCCTGGCCTCTGCCCACCAGATGCCGTTAGCAGCCCCCCTCCAATTGTGACAACCCAAAATGCCTCCAGACAGTGCCACGTGTCCCTTGGTGGGGGGACAAAATTGCCCCCACTCCTTTGAGAACCTCTTCTTCTACAAATGGGCAAACTGAACCCCACAGGGGAGAGGGGCTCGCTCAGTGCCGCACTGACCCCACGCTGCCGGGCTGAGGCTCGACCTGGCCTCCTGGTCACACACGGCTGGGCCCTGGCCTCCCAGCACCCCCGACGAAGCTCAGACCGCCTCTAGACTGAAGAGAGGCATGCACACTCTTGAGACGGCAGGCCGCTTCGGTGACAGCCAGGGTCCCAGGCCTAGAGGGCCTCTCAGTTGACCCAGCGGTAAGCTCCCGCGTCTACACTTGGCCAGAACCTGCGGAGCAGTCCCACGTGCATGTCTCGGCCCCTCCCGGAGCCCGCACCAGACAGAAGGTGGGCCATTGTGTGCGAGCACTGGGAGTGCACACGTGGGACTGGTGCAGCTCACCTCCACAGCCCTTCGAGTCTCTGACAGAGACACACAAAGGGACGGACAACTGTGTCAACAGCAGCAAAATTCAAGTTGGGAAAATCACTGGCAAACATCAAGCAGAGAGAAAACACATTTAGAACTTCCTCCTGCCCCGCCGCGAGGTGGACCATTAACAACAGCACAGTTAGGAAACAAACACGCGAGCTGAATCGGGGCACCAATGTCCCTCAGGTCCCGGCAGCCACTTTTTCTTTCCAACCTCGAAACGAAGTGCAAAGGGAAACCCTACCACACATGGTAACAGCCGCTCTCGGAAGGCTGGGACCCACCCAGTGACGCGTCAGGTAGCAGAGTCTAAAGGGCATCTGTGGGTCTGGCCCCCACAAAGGGACGGTCAAATGAACATCACAGCCCCTCTCAGAGCTGATGAAACCTTATTGGCACCAACGAAGGTGTATCTAGTATCTAAGAGCGTCTCTTAATTGTTGTGTTTTGAAAAGCTGCTTTCAAGTTCTAGAAACAGCTGATGCTCTCAGCCGCGGGTAATGAGCCTCTGGCTGTTTCGATCAACCCTTGGTTGGCCAACTTTGGCTCGGTCCGCAGAGAAGCCTCCCCTCCCCCCCCTCCACCTGGGCCACAGCAGACAGGTCACGGGGGAGGAGTGCGGGGGATTACAGGCAGCTGTCCTTTCTCTTCAGAGCTACTGAGCTTGACTGAGCCCCAAGGTGGCGCTTCTGCAAACGCTTGCTCAGCCCTTGACCGCAGAGGTCACCTGAGAGACAAGACGCCTGGACAATGAACCACGTGCATCGGTGAAGACGAGGCTCGGTGTGAGCGCCGCGAGCCCGTGCCCTGTGGCCGTGAACAAGCCAAATCACTTCTGGAGGCCGGGGAACAGTTATGCTATCCTACAAAGTGAGGACAGCTGGGTTAGTGGTTGCTAAGACTCCAACTTGAATAAGCAGAGGAGAAAAGGGAAGGAGAAAGAACCTTGTTTAGAAAGAGAGGCCTCGAATGCCCCTGTGAACTCGGGGGCCTACGTAGAGCACACATAAGACGTACGTACACTTGGTGTCCACACACCCCGGCATCAGACCAGGAGGGACAGGGACAGCGGACGCCACCAACCCTGCCACTTCTGCCTCAAGGCCCCCAAATGTTTTCATACGGCCCGGCAACAATCAACGGTGGTATCGCTCCCAGTCCAGTCCGTGTAGACACACAGACTGCGGCCACGGCGGGACTCCAGGGGAGGCTGAGCCCAAAAGGCAGGCAGACAGACATCGGCGGGGTGCTGAGCTGCCCCGAACTGAGCTGAGAGGCGCTGTGCTCCCCAGTGAGGAGCAAACAAGCCCGCACCCTTGGGCCTCATTCGGAGCCCCCTCCCCGTAAGCACCCCCATTTAACACACGCACTGCTCCGCAGCATGGCCCAAGGGACACAGGTAGTGTTTAAAAGTCTCCGTGAGGAGTCTGTACTCCTAATTTGAGTGTCTGGGTCAACAGCATTAAAGAGCAACGAGGAGACTCCTCCCTTCCCCATGAGACATGCTGAGGAGACAGCTCTGGGCTTAGGGGAAAAAATGCCAAAATTCAGGTTATCTGTGCTGTGAACTAAGCATATATCTCATTTTCAAAGTCAGATGCGGTCTAGGCTTAGGGCTGACTATATTTTGTAAGTCAGGCTGCTCCAGAGCCTTTTTTTTTTTTTAAGGTTCAGTGACTCACGTGTGCAAGGTTCTTGGCGATGCCTGTGAAAAGCCAGCCCCACAGACAGAGAGCGTGTGCACAAGCAGGGGGAGCAGCAGGCTGAGGCAGACTGAGGCAGAGGGAGAAGTGCTCCCGGCTGAGCAGGGATCCCGATGTGGGACTTGATCCCAGGACTCTGGGATCATGACCTGAGCCAAAGGCAGATGCCTAACCAACTGAGCCACCCAGGCGCCCCTAAACATTGGTTTTTTTCTTCCATGTTCAGTCCAAACAGGTGCTTATTAGAGGCTCGCCGGTTTAAAAGAGGCTCTGGAAGGGTGCCTGGGTGGCTCAGTCGGTTAAACGTCTGCCTTTGGTTCAGGTCATGGGTGCTGGGATCAAGTCCCGGATCAGGATCCCTGCTCAGCCGGGAGCCTGCTTCTCCCTCTCCCTCTGCCTGCTGCTGCCCCCTGCTTGTGCGCTCTCTCTCTCTCCGTCAAATAAATAAAAATAAATAAAATCTTAAAAAAAAAAAAAAAAGGTTTAAAAAAGAAACACGAGGCCAGACCCAGTTTTACAGATTCCCTGAATGCATGTCGGTCACAACGGTTCAGACTTGGCCACTGAATCCACATCATGCATCTGTGGACAGCATCCCCTTGCCACAGCAGGGAAGAGCCCCTGATTCAGAGTCAAGAGTGATACGGCTCATAAGCAGTGACAGCGTCTGAGGGACTCAGGCAATACAGAAAGCTGAGATTTCCGAGGGTTACTATTCTGGAGGGGATTTCAGAAACATACCCCGCCGGCGCCTTAACTCTGAGAACACAGTGATCACATCCCACAGCCACCTGCAGCCCCCGTGCAACACAGAGAACCCTACTTTCTCTGAGTATTCGCGACGGAAAGGACTGGAGGGAAACAGTGTGCAATTCTTGGTGGAGAACCCTGAGGAAGTGGAAAAGGGCGAGTCAGACCTTCTGATCGCCAGACCGGGGCTGCCCTTCTCAAGGGCCACCTCAAGCCTACACATCCCAGATAATTAGAACTTGTGGTTGGGTGACCTCCCTCCCATCAGGCTGAGTCAGGGCTGAAGCAAGAGTTCAGTGACTCACACGTGTGCATCCACCATGGCCCCAGAGCTCTCCCAGCAAGTTTCCCGGAGTGCTACTCTGTGGGTCCATGCTGCACCTCCAGGTACAGGAACAAGTCAGCAGGCCTGCAGATGGCCTGCCTTTCTGTACCAAAACCCCACGTGACTAAGAGCCTAACCAAAGGTGAGCAGCGACAGGTCACATGGAAGAGAACAGAGCTTGCTTCATTTTACAGGAAAAGCTTCACTAACCACAGTCCCCCCACGTCTCCACCCCGCTCCCCAGAAGAGACAGGGTGGCTTTTCTTAACCTCCTAAGATGGGCAAGCAGGGAAGAATGAGCTCTCCCTGCCTTCTCCCCTCGCTCCTGATAGCACAAGGCAGGAAGCCCTGGGAGGGAAGGGGGCACAGAGCAGAGGAACGAGAGGAAAGGATGCTCAGAACCCATCACCGTTCCCAGAGCTCTACTCACATCCAGCGGCCATCCACGCAGTTAACCCAGAGCCCTAACACCTGCGCCCTATGTACGCCCCGGCACTGTTCTGTCGGGGCCATCCTACCTACCCAACACTTGACCAGAGGCCACGGGGAGCTCCTGGGGGTCAGAGCGCCCAGGCCTGGCTCTCTCATGCCAAAGACAGGTAAAAACCAAAGGCCCCAATGGAGAGCAAGGCCCCATTCAGCTTATCTGTCACCTTGGTGATGAGCTGTCAGGCCGAACCCATTAGGTGCTAATACTCCTGTTTACTGGTGCAGATGTGCTCGGGGGTTACATTCTGCTGAATGGCAGCGAGCACCAGCTGCAGGACACAGACGTCATTTTGGATTGCTGAGTTCATTGGTCTCTGGCTCCTTCCAACCTGGTCTCAGATGGCTTCCGGACGCCTAGCGTCTGCAGAGGGCACGCTCAGCATTTTCTCTAGCGCCTGGCTTCCTAGGAGGAGGACACTGTCCCTGGCTGCCCGGGGCAAGGAGCCTGATGCCCGGGATGCAGCTCTGCAGGGGCCTGCCAGCCAGAACTAACCAGGCCGTTGACCCTGTGCTCTCACCTCTGCAGGCCTGAAGGAAAGGGTGCGGGACAGCCAAGAGGTGAGGAGCCCAGCCTTCGGCACTCAGAACTTCAGCCCACCGCGTGCCGTGCAAGACCACCCTCCCCGTGGCTGAAGATGGAGGCACTGTGGCCAGCCTCACACGCTCCAGTAACACAGCACTAAGTATGGAGGACCTGGCCCAGAGTTAGTGTTTTGGGATTCTTGTCGTAACTCCTGGAGGAAACAAACGCCTTTTTAGGTTCCCTCTCAGCAACCCAGACTTCCTGGCCCAATCCTGTCATTTGATTTTTGCTTTTGTTTTCTGAAGACAAGGTTAGAAAAAAACGGGTATGTCACGTTACCTGATCAGTGCCTCTGACATTTCCCCATTCCTTTCAAATGAAATCATTTTCAGTTTAAAAGCCTAGACTCCCAGCACCTTTATCATCAGCGGCTTTGTTTTAATATTATGTGGATAAATGTTAAAAACAAAAACGCCACAGCAGCTTGGCCAGATTTTGTCCACGGGAAGCTGTCACTTTGGATCTGCACTCTCATCTGCCCACATCCTCCTGCGTTGAGCCTGACTGTGGCAGAAGCAGCTCCTGACTCGTTTTGAAGTGCACGAGGGCTACTGCCCTCCTGAGTCCCCCACAAGGGGGCATGGAGATGTCTTTGGACATCTGCTGCCACCAGCCAGGTGGGCCCTGGTGCTGATAAGCCGAAAGCGGGAGCCCGCGCTGCCTGACAGACACAGCGCTGGGCTGCTCTGGGTGCTGGGTTTGATGCAGCGTGCCCCTTTACAAGGCCAGTCCTTTTCCCTCTTTTTGTGCCAGAAGAACACCAGGCCTCAGAAGCTTGTCCTATGTGGCACCAGCCTCAAAGCGAGGTTGGAGTCTGGGTTTGCCCCCAGGGCCAGGCCCCAGGCCATTCCAGAAGCCCCAGCAGGCCCTGCCTTCCTTCCCAGCAGTAACTTGGTATAGGCAGACCCTGTGTCCCCCTCAAGGGCCTTTCCGGTTCCAAGATTCTGCTTCTTTTGTTTCAAACAAAATGCATGGAGAAAAAGAAGAGAAGATTACATAAAGAGATTTTGAACTTTTTTTTTTTTTTTCTGTAGGAAAGTTTATCATTTGATCGTTGGCAGCAGCTGGGTTAGAGACATTTTAGCTAGATTTGGTTATGAAATGCACTTGCAAAATCAGGGTTCTCCAGACTGAAGAGTGAGTGTACAGAGCTCCCACAGTCCCCTTGCTGAAAAGCGCCATCTTCTTAGGGAGTTGCTACTTAGGGAAATGAAATCGGGTCACTAAAATCATGTCAATGAAAACTGACAGGGAAGGAAGACGTACTTGGTTGAGAGCTCTCGGTATGAATTGTTTTTGTGAAGGATACAATTTTTAAACTGTGTCTGTAAACACAGAATTGTGACCTTAGGAAAAACTATTTCTTCAAGTTGATATACTTTTTCTCCCCCAAATTGGTTTTACAATACCAGCTCACAGGAAAGTGATGGAAGGAGAACCCAAGTAGCAGACCACACCCGGAAGATTCAGCCCTCGAGGGGAACAGTGGAAAATCTTGCTCACCCGTACCTGATCAGAAAACACTCATTTATCTTTTTTTTTTTTAAATCACGCAAACGAATACAAGCCTTCCAATAAACCTAAGCTTCAGAGTTTGATTACTCAATACTACTTCCATAAAAATTAAAAATTTAACCTCACTACTAACTCTGGCCAAACCACAAGCACATTAAGTGAACTAAGGAACGAAATGACAATTGGGCCAGACCCGAGTCGGCCTTGCAGGGATAAGGCTATTAACCCACAGACATAACGGAATACTTTTACAAGTAAAAGGGACACTAAATGCTCAAAAGCTTAATCAAAAGAGGGTGGAAGCTCTGTTCTTTCCCCTTTCTAGGGTCTGATTCTGTCCATCCGGTGTGTGTCAGCTGCCCTGCTTCAGCCTCCCTGTTGCTCAGAATGCCACCTGTACGCTCTGGAAGGGAAAAAAAAAAAACAAAAACCCAAGAAGATAGGCTTCCCCTTCCTCCCAGGTTTGTGTACAGATAGATACCCATTCAATTCAGTCCCAGGGCAGAGTCCAAACAGGGAGGGAAAATGCTGGGAGGGTCAGAGGGACCCCATGAGTCCAACACATGTGGGAAAGAGCAAAGAAAAAAGTGCTGAGGCGCTCTGTGGCTGGGGCACATACCAGGGCGCCCCCTCTCCCCTGGGAGGACCCCCAGGCCTCCAGGCTGACCAACCCCTGTTCAGAATCAGAGCTCCCCACCCCGCCCCCTAAGAGTGCCAGTGAAAGGGGAAGCGTGCAGGGACCACCCCGACAGTTCAAAAGGGAGAGGGCGCTCCCCGGTCGCCAGACTTGGCCCAAACCAGCGGCGCCCCCCAGGACCC